GAGTGCATGCAGGAGGCAACTGATCAGTGTCTACTCGCGCCCCCTCCTCCATTTTCCTTACACTCTCTCTCTCAAACAAACAAACAAAAGCAAAACAAAACAAAACAAAACAAAAAAACCATAAATCAATGGAAGAAACATTCTTGGTGAGGGTTAACAAAAATTAAAAAAATATGGGTAACTAATAGGATTAGATGAATAACTTTTAAATCAGTAAAATAAAAAATATATAAAATTCAAAAGGAAGCAAACCAAAAAAGGAACAAAGAAAATATGTACGCACACACACAAAAGACAGAAATTATTCCAAATAATTTATATGCTACATGAAAATGGACTAAATTTCCCCACTAAGTCAAGATACTGACAGAATGGGTCATTAAACTCCCATATGAGTATCTGGTAAAAACAAAACAAAACAATCACATTTGCACAAGGAGACATATCCAAGGATATTCAACATATCTTTTAATTGGAAACCTTATGTCCATTAAAAAAAAAAAATCAGATAAAATGGTATAAGAAATTCTAACACTGAAATAACAGAGAAGTTAAACCAAAAATATAAACCTTAAAATTCAACATGGATTGATCTCAAAATATGTCAAATGAAAAAAGTTATTTGAAAAAGAATATAAACAATATACCATTTATATAAATTAAAAAAACTATCTCAGAATATACTATATATTGTCATGTATACATACATATATAGAAAAAGCATAAAAATATACCCAGAGAAGAAACATATGAACTTTAGAAGAAAGATAAATGCATTTTGTAATGTTTTCTTTTACAGACAAAAAATTCAAACCAATAAGAAAATGTTAATATTTGTTAAGTGCATAGATTATCATTTATGTGATTTTATTTTCCATATTTTAAAGTAGTTCCAAAATTACAAATTAATGTGAAAATTACAAAGAGAAAGAAAGAATAAGTTTTGGATCTGTGCCAATCTAAATGCATAGCTGTCAATCACTGTTTTAAAATTACACTTTAAAAGCCTGAATGTGTGTGTGTCAGAGAATTCTCACAACAAACACTTCTAACTGCAAGGGAATAAACACATATAAATACTAAAAAAATAATCTTTTTGTAATCTGTGATTTGTCTTTGTTAGATAAAGTAAACTGTGGTTCTGGCATTTGCTTTCTTCTATCCCTGTGGTTGGCAAACTGCGGCTCGTGAGCCTCGGTTCGCCGGTCTATTGACTAATGAGTGTGCTGACCACTGCTCTATCCTAATGCTTAGGACACAGTAGGTGGACCATACCAACGAAGGAAGAAAAGATGTGGAATAAACATTGTCAGGACGGTCATCCTGCAAGCCTGTGATCTGTGTGAGAGGACTCTAATGGGCACACCCACCACAGCCTTTTAATGGAAAAATGTGTGTCACATTCCTTGGGAATGGGAAAGCAAACTACGTTGAAAAATCATGCCTGTAGCCAAGTCCCCTCACAGCTTCACAGAGGAAATGATCCTTGAATCATTCTCAAAAATGAATCGAGTTCTCAAAAATGAGATAGGGCTGTCAAACTGAGATGGGCCTAGGTCAGAAAGGAGGAGGGGGTTTTTAAGGGGTAGGGACCAAAGAATTAAAGAGGCCGGTGTTGGAAGGGGCAGGGGCAGTCGAGTAGAGCTGGGCATAATGGACAGGTTGCGAAAGCTCAGTGGTTCCTCCTAAGGAGAGGTTAGCAGGCAGTTCTCTCGGTTCAAAGTCATGTGGGCTGGGCAATACTAACCCCCACAGCTATGGAAGAGTCCCAGGATCAGTGCAGGGAGCAGGCTGAACAGGGACGGTCCCTCTTGGACTGTAACAAATCAAGCACTGAGTTTCCCTCTGCTTAGTGGTGAGGACGTGGCAAAGAGAAGACAGCAGACACACCAAAATGGTTCCACATCAGGATAGAGCGGATGCCTAAGTGGGAACCTCATGCTTGATATGTGTGCACAAAGGAGTCAGAAGTATCTCAGACAGCTTGCTGGGTGGGCCACGGGAAATGCAAGTGCTGCCTCGTAATTTGGAAAAGCCACAGTTCCCTACTGGGTAGGTGGGGATTCCCAATCAGAGTTTGGGACAAGGGGAAAGACAAGTAGATAGTTAAACAAACAAACACATATTTTATTCACATGAAATATGCCCTGACTCTCTGAGAATAGAAAGGAACACAAGGTTTTTATGTTTGCTACGGGGGAACTTTTACAAAGCTGAGTTAACGCAAACTAAGTTGTTGGTTTTTTTTTTATAACTTCAATTTTTATTTCTGAATAAGAAATAAGATCATTATTGATTGCATCTTAGACAACCCCTAATTTAACAAGTAAAAGCTAAAAGTCTTGCTATAAACTCCTATACTTTCAATCTAAAACATCTCGCTGTTCAAATATACTTCTAATCAGGGATCTATGACCTTTTTCCTGGAAATAAGCACTAAATTAATGAGATAAGTAAAAGTAATGCCACAATTCTCTTTTTAATTTTCTTCCTAACAAATGCATAAACTATAAACAAGTCTCCTTTCTACATTTTAAACTCAGTTACTCGATTTTAAAACTGTTATGTATTTACCTTGTTCTAGAAATTTTACAGTTTCTGTGATTACCCACCATTTCCTTTTTATCTCTTTTCTTTCAAGATTTCTCCTGGTCTGCTTTAGTGACAATCCTTTTTGTCTTAACCTAGAACTTGCAAAAGCAGCTGTGAGTTTACGCCACAGGATTAAATAAACAAAAATATCAATGACTAAACATTTATTTTTTAAATTCTTTACAGACCCAAATATGTAGATAAGCAAGAGGGTCAAGATTAACAATCATGACCATGTCAATTGTGTGGCCACAGGCAAATGACTCTAACTCTTGAGATACTTCTCTGAAACCAGGGCCCGCTGGGCTCCACGACCAGCTTATTCTGTTTTACAGCTCCCTGGCTGCCCTCCTGCTTTAGTAGTCCCTAGAATATAAGTACTAAGCACAAAAGGAAAAACCATAGCGAAAATGAAGTGAAAAAACCTGACAAACGATATGTTATAGTATTTCTGATGAGTTTATGTTAGTACAGAGGGGGGAAAAAGCCAAGTGTAACTATCGTTTACGTTGGAGTACCAGGGCTGATTTCAAACTAAGGCATATCTGATCTGGGTACAGTTTATAATCTTAATTTGATTTAAGAAATTATTGCTTCTCTATGTATTTTAAATTGTGAGTTAAATTGTTATATTCCGTCTCTGTATACTTCTTAAACCTCCATAGTCAATGCACAGGCACCACTCAATGCCTTCTATTGTGCTCATGAAGCTGTCAGAAGAAAATCTATACTTATTATAATGCTTCACTCATGTATACAAAGCAGCAATTTATGCAGCACTTCCCCACCCCCCCTCATCAAGAAGTGACCTGATTAAGAGAGGTTACACGATGAAGCTACTGCTCTATCGTAGGGTCAGAGAAACATTCAAGGCACCAGGTGCTTATGTTCTATAAGACTTAATAATCTTACATATTTATTTTCTCTAGACGATTGCTGTATGTAGTAAGAAACCCAGTGAGAGCTTTCTTAATGAAATAGCTTATGCATCTATCAATTATGAGGAAGTAAACGGTTCAGCCTAAAAAGCCTGCCAGCTGGCTGCGGTTGTGTCCCTGGGACCCAGAGATGTGCGGTGCTGGGGCCTGGAGTCCCTCCTGCGCATTGGCCCTGCCTCCAGGCCTACTATCTCCACCTTGCAGGCGAATTAAACTGCCTCTGTTCTAGAACAGGACAGAAACAAAGCAAACGAGGAGTTGCACGCATCTGACAGAGTCTCCAGCATAAAAGTAATGATAGTAGCAACTAGCGTTCTAGTCACAAAATCGTTACCATGGCTTATGAAATACGTGTGGGAGAACAAGACACAGACCTCCCACAGCTACAAAACCTTTGATGATCAAATGCAATGTTTCCCAATAGCTTATACACCCATATCCATTCTCATACACAGCCAGCCACACGCAGACAGGGAGACATCACGGCCTGAGGCTGACCCCAAATTTATTCTTTCTCTAAACACTAATTCTAAGATTTGTATTCAGCACTCCCTTCCTTTCCCCCTTTATTTTATTCACTACTCCTTGGAGAATTAAAGTCATAATAAAAGGTCAAAAATATGGACAGGACTGTTTAAAAGTGTCTGTTTTATGTATGGCTTAAATTCCCACCCCACAGATGTAGTAGTTCTGTGTTGTAAGCCTGAAAGGTGTAGTCCTTCCCCTAAAATTGGGCTATTGTGCTTACCACTGGAGGGCAGCCCTTCCCCCCTCCCCCCATCCTTCCCCAGCTTTTAAAGGCTGTATCGCTATACCTTGCAAAATAGGAAGGACATAGTATCGATTCTGGTTTGTCTTTCATTTTTATTTAAGCTACATTTGACTTTGAGATCATCAATGTGGTCTCCAACATTCCAGTTATATAGAAGAAATAATTAGGTCTGAATATATGCAGACCATTCAAACCTTAACACAGATCTCCTATCCACTCTTCTTAGCTTTTAAAAAATAACTTGTCAAATCTCAAGCCTGTTTACAGTTATCAGATCGGGGTGGAGGCTGACTTACCACAAACACAACCAAACGCTGGTAACACCCACTTCCTTCCTCCCCACCCCCAAACAAGAACCATCTATTAAATACTTATAATAAAATGCTCACAGATCTGTTTTTCACGTTCTGTTCATTTTCCACTCTGTATTCTGCTCACATAAGAGTAGTTCTGAAATATTTATTTTACTTCTAAATATAATAGGAAACATGAGAATCAATAGCAAAGGCTTCTATTTCACATATTCCAGAGGGCAAACAATGCTGGCATTTGAAATATCAATTTCAAACATACTCAAAGTGTACTAATGAACTTGCTCTCCCAGGTCCCCTACCACCTTCTTCATTTAGGAGCATAATTCAGGATAGCAATATGAGCAGAGTTAAGCTAGAGGAAGCCCGTGGTAACCTCAGACCTACCTCACAGAACATATAGAGAGACAGCAAGGTGAGCCCAAGGTTATACACCACTAAAATTTTTCGGCAAGCGAGCGGCTGCCTGTTCTTCATGTATTTGGGGCCCAGCCACACAATTAGTAAGTATATGGTGGAGCAGATGAAAGTAGGTATATAATTGTCCAGAAGAAACCATCCTTTTACTCTGGTATCTGAAAAATAATAAAGGTACAATAGTAAGTGATCACCACATTTTTCAAATATCAAAAAAAAAAATTTTTTTTTCTCTAACCACAACTTTATAATAGCTCCCTAATATGAATGTTCCTATTACCAACGGAGCAACAAGAGGAAGCGTTGGGTTTTCAGTCTGTGTCATCCAAGATGAAGCTCCCTGGTACATGTTCTGAACGACAATGTGTATGTTACTCATGATTTTTGCTAAGTAAAATGATAATTTAAAAAATCCTTTCCAAAACACCTTAAGAAGAAAAGAGAGAAAGCTAAATTGCCCATTAACTGGATTTATCAACCTGGTTTGTTAAATTATGCATGGGGTAATGAAACCCTAGACAAGGCAGTCTTTGAACTCCGAAGTCCTCCTTCTCAGCCAAGAGTCAGCAAGCCCTCCCAGCATGCAGACTCAGAGGCAGCGTGCCACTTAGCCAGCTTAATGACAGTCACTGATTCGACAGGCAGCATCTGCTGGGAGCGCAACGGTCACCAGCACAGGGCAGGATGGTTTTTTTTAAAGTGAGGGTGAAGCAGCAATGACCAGTAAGTGACTATTTAAGAGGTATTAAGGAACCATGTGAAGAGTAGAGGCTTAAGAAGACCTACATGGTTTCCAGGGAGCTAGTAGGTCTAGGAGAGAACTCCCTCGCTCCCACCCCCTTTCCTAGGCAGGAATGAGGAAGAAAAGAAAATTAGTTCTAAGTAGCTGCCAGCAGCAAGGTGACCACCTTTTCCTGGGGTGGGAGTCAACTCCCTGGAAGCCACATCCCCTAGGTGTTATATGTCTGCTGCAAGATTCAATTTCCTCTTCTGGCCGACTCCCAGAAAGCCACCTCTGCAGCCTGTTCCCCTTGGTATCCTGCCCTGGAGAGCCCCCAAATCTGGTGGCTTCTCCAAGGCTCCCTTCTCTGGAGCTCAGAAGCACACGCAGGTTTCACATCCTGGGTTTTCTGAGTCACAGCAGCTGAAAGGGACAGCCTCAGCTCCTTCTCTGACCTCCTGGCAACACCACCTTGCTCTTCTCTCCAGTGCTTTTCCCTTGACCCCATAGGACAAGCCTGTGTGTATTGGGAGGACCTACTGTCAGTCTGCTTTCCTGTAGATACCTTAAGTTCTCCCCCAGGTTTCCTGGCTTTTCTCCTCTACCCTCTCCCACTAGAGTTGGGCTAGTGTGGTAGAAGGGAAATGGCCGGCCCCAGTGAGCCCAGCAAGGGGATTCTTAACACCTTTGTTTTCAGCTGCCAATTCTGAGAAAACAAGTTCCCACTTAGCAACTAACATCAGATGTTTGCGTGTGCGTTATGTATCACAAACACAATAAGCGCACACACAGAAACCTCCCATTTCCTTTTACAGTACTTAAAGCTCTGTCTGCACCTTGCTTTTTAAGTGTTATAACAGATCTTCATCGTTTTATATTAGCAAGTATCCAACCTCCTTCCTCAGAGCCTGTACTTCCCGGGCGGCTGGGACCTGGCTAATCATGGTTATCCTCACCCACTCTCTGGTGACTGGTACAGACATGGGCATGTGAAGCGAAGATGGCCACTGAGCTTTGAGAAGATGACAGCTAGTGAGGGGCTCAAGGAAGGGATTCCTTGTTTGTAAACCCATGCGGATGAGATTTCTGACTCCTCTGTGCCATCCCACCACGACGGGTGGGGGACCTGAGCTGAGGATAGAGCTGCTGCTGTACTGAGAATGCAAAATAGAAAATGACAAGAACAGGGATTACTTAACAGAACTCAGCCCCTGAAATACTCAGGAGTTGATGATCTTATAATGCAAGCTAGTAAGTTTTATTATCATTTCAGCTAGTGAAAATGGAATTTTGGGGTCCCGTAACGCTGAAGTGGGGCATCGTCCCAACACAACATACAGGGGGATCTAACTCATTCTTTTCCGTGGGGCTGTACACAAATGTATTTAACCCGTCCCCTATGAATGGGCATCTAGGTTACCTCAGTTTTGACAAGCAATGCCATAAGGAGCATCCTGATGTTCATCTTTGCATAACTGATCAGGATTAGTTGTAGGATAAATTCTTAGGAGTCAAACAGCTGAGTAAAAGGGCATGCACATTTTATTTTCAATAGAAGACACAACTACCCTCCAGAGAGATTACACCAACTTAGACTCTCTCTCCACACCCTCACACTGTCACAAATGGCATCAAACATGATTTCATCTCTGCCATACGAATAAACTGCTTTATTCTGTGTTTTAAAACTGCAGTTTCCCTGTAAATTATTTATGTGAACCTAAAAAGTTCCTTTTTTATAGATCAGACACTGAGAAACATTTTTGATGACATTAAAGGAAGGCAATCGAGGAGCTGATTTACTTCCTAAGAGATAATAAAAGATGAAGAGATATGAGTGCAGTAAAATGTGAGTGCATGTGTATATATTTACTTGTTGATGTGACACAATGTGGCAGGGCATTAAAAAACCTGACAATCGTCAAAGGGAAAGAGTTTTAAACTCCTAGTGCAGTGTTTCCCAAACTTCTCTAATGGTGAGAATCACCTGGTGGAGTTGTTAAAATACAGATTCCTGAATCCCAACTTAGAAGTGCTAAACTAGAATTTTGGGAACATATAGGTAAAATTGTATACTTAACTAGACAGATTCCTGAATCCCAACTAAGAAGTGCTAAACTAGAATTTTGGGAACATATAGGTAAAATTGTATACTTAACTAGACAGATTCCTGAATCCCAACTAAGAAGTTCTAAACTAGAATTTTTGGGAACATATGTTCCCAAAAATTCTAGTTTAGAACTTCTTAGTTGGGATTCAGGAATCTGTATTTTAACAATTCCACCAGGTGAATTTCATCATGAGAGAAGTTTGCGAAACACTGTCCTAGTGCAATAGTGCATTATGGAAGCCAGTTTCAGCTGGAGACTCATAAGAATTGAGGAAAACATACAGGTGATAATGGTGAAATCTTGGCATTTTCAGGCTACAAGCCTGATAGCATAATTTGATCTCCTGCTAAAACAAGCAGAGGGTCACAAGAGCTATGTCTCTGCTCCAGCCCAGGAGGCGGCACCATTTCAGTAACCATCAGAGGAATTCTCCAAGCCCCTCGTTACCCAGGACAAGGCATTAGTCTTATCATAGAAAATGCTAATGTTTTCTAGAATATCATCACACAATATTTGCAAGTGGCTGTATCCAGGAAGGGGGGAAGGGTAGGGAGAAGAAAGGACGCAAAACCAAAAACCACCTTACCTCGGGGGCCTAGCAATGCCTTGAAATAGGTACTAAGTGATGCATCAAAATGTTCCATTTTAAAACCTATTAAGAAAAAAGAAAAAAGACATTGATTAAGCTCCACTCAAAATGTAGTATATTTCCTAAAAGAACAAATTTTCCAAGAATATGCTATAGACAAGGTTAAATTCCTTATGTGAAAATGTTTTTTTTTTTTAAACTCATAAAGGTAACTTATGTGTTAGTTCTAATTTGAAAATGAAAAGACACAACCCCGTGAATTCACTTTAGAAGTGCCGGACTAAACTCTCAGTTCCATAAAAACACCCCGTGAAGCTGAAATCTCAGTGGGGAGAAGAGTGAAACTGGAGGGGAAGGTGGCAGACAGGAGGGGATTCCCTTCCAGGCAAGAACAATGTGGAGTCAAGAGGACAAAGACAGGAAGTGCTGTATTAAAGGAAGGAATGCCACAGTGAAAAGGTGATTTTCTCTGCTTGCTACTTTTATTATTATTATTATTATTATTATTATTATTACTTTAGAATATATTTTTATTGTCTTTTTACAGAGAAGAAGAGAGAGGGATAGAGAGCTAGAACCATCAATGAGAGAGAAACATCGATCAGCTGCCTCCTGCACTGGATATGTGCCCTCAACCAAGGTTCATGCCCTTGACCGTAATCGAACCTGGGACCCTTGAGTCTGCAAGCTGATGCTCTATCCGTGAGCCAAACCAGTTAGGGCTAAATTTTTAATGTTATTGTAGCATATTTCTAGGTATGATGTACTCAGCTGTGATGTAAAATATATTCTTAAAGGGGGAGAGGGTGTCACAGAAAAAAAAAAAAGAAACTTAGAAAAATACTGTTATACTGAGAAGTAAATACAGTAAATCCTCACTTAACATCCTCAGTATGAACTATGGGAAAATGAAACCAATTTTTACCATAGGCTAATTGACAAAAACAAGAGTTACGTTCTCATGGCATCTCATCAACATTATAACGAAATTATTTTATCCGAGGACTTGCTGTATATATTACTTGTTTTCACTTAATAAAACATCTTGAGGATAGTATCAAATCAATAGTTACATCTCTAACTCCATCTTCCAAGATTTCATAATTCCCTTCATTTCCCCCTTATTCAAGATTGACATTTATAGGGCAGCTAAGCAACTTTTTATACACAAATTGTCTAGATTTTCTATATTAACTACAGGAGACATACATTTTCAACTTTCCTGGCCACGACTCTTACAGATAGAACCACAAACATTTTACCTTCCAAGAGCAAAGGCAAGCACCAGTTTTATCTAACCCAGCTGTTAATCATTTAATGCTACCCCTCTTCCTGGCTCAGCACACTGGAGCTTTGTGTGCTTTGGCTGATGTGAAGTTTCCTAATGGGCTATCTCCAGCCCAGCGGTGAGATAAGAGATAAGAGATAAGAGATAGGCGAAGCCACAAGGACACTGCAAGAGTAGCTACCAGGGTGCTGGTCAGGGAGGTGACCATGGCTAGAAACCAGCAAGCCACCACAGAGCCAGCAGTTAGGTATACTACCTTTGTCCCTCAACCGTTATACACCAGGCCACTAGGTCACTTCTGACATTTAAAAAATAAACTGCTCTTTAACATACTGCATCCCTAAGACCATTCTTACCTTGAGTCACATTCCTCCCCCAGACTGAACCTCTTCAAGGGACAAAATTCTAGAGCATCTTAAGAAGAATCTGTGAAACTTCACATTTCCTCAGCAGAATTTTTCTTAAAAACGTTTCCATGCTTAAATAAGAAATGTTTGATCTATTAAAGGCTGCTAGCAACACTGCCATTAAAAAAAAGATAACGGTATCTATGTTTTCATAATCTATTGAAAATCATCCAGAAAATGCAAATTTTGGAAGACATCCATCATGTTTTTGTGCAACTGAACTCACTCTGACACACAATTTAGCTTCGTCTGAGATGGAGTAGGCCCTGCATATGGAAGGCACAGAGTCCCCTGCACCTCAATCGAAAGCAAATAGAGACTGCTCAAGGAGGAACAAGGTCATAAACACCACAACTATTGGGAAACTAACTGCTGATGGACAAACTGTCTATCAGGGACAGACTTGCCGCCTTCCAAGACATTTCAAATCTAGACCCTGCTATGACTGGATGGGTATACCGCTTATTGGTACTCAGCGTGAAGGAGCTGAGAGCAGGCATACTAACCAGGCTGCAGGTGATGAAGTGGTTCAGTGCTGCCCTCTCATCAGACAATCTGGGTTTGAAACTTATTTTTCCACTTACTAGCAATGTGACTTTGGACACGTTATTTAAAAATGTATTTTATTGATTTAACACAGAGAGGAATTGAGAGGGACAGAGAGTTAGAAACATCGATGAGAGAGAATCATTGATCAGCTGCCTCTTGCACACCCCCTACTGGGGATTGGACACGTTATTTAACCTCCTAACTATAAAATGGGAGAAACACCTAATGCCTCTTAAGGTTAAGAAGGTCAAATAGTGCCCTTAGGGCAGTGCCTGGCGTGCAGGAAGCCCACCATAAAGGCTTCTTACTGTGTTTGCCACAGGCTCAACTCTGTGGCACTGCTGGCACTCTGTCCCTGGCCTGTCCATGAAATGCCACCAGCAAGCCCCAGTTCTTGTGATAACCCACAATGTCCACTTCAAGTCCTATCACCCCCAGGGGTACAGCAACAGAGGTGGAGGCATGCTAATACCTCGGAAAACATTCTCTAAACAGGAAAGACGGGGCTAAAATGAGCATGCAAATTAGATGCACACATACCAAACACCTAAGGTGTACATGATTGCCAAACCGGAAGAAACAGAAAGGAGCGTTCCTGGAGACCTCAAACAAACCAGACGTGCAAGATGCTGTGAGCCAAACACAAGATCCAGTTTGCTAAAGAGCAGCTGTTAGAATGATGCATATACATGTTTGATACCATGCTGTAAAAATAAGGTTTACGTAACAGTATCCTGGGATCTAGCACCGGAAGATCCCTGACAAGGGACAGACTTGCCGCCTTCCAAAACATTTCAAATCTAGTAGTAGGCCCACCAGTAAGCGGTATACCCATCCGGGGATCATAATGATTTTTAACTAAGAGGCCTTTCAGAGAGTGTGACCAGTTTTGGTTTCCATACAAGGTTTCCAGAAAAGCTGGAAACAGGAGCACAGAAATATTTAAAAATGATAAAAAACAGACCTGTAGTGTGGAGTTGGGGAGGAGGGAAAAACATGAGTAGACTTAAGAAAAAGGAAAGAAAGTGGTACAAATGCCCTGTCATTACCAGGACAATGCCCAGGACGAAGCTGAACTTGAGAAACTAGGCTAACATCACGGCCACAGAAAAACAGCTTGATGAAACATACGGCGAAATTTCAGTCCAAGTGTACTGAACCCAGCAGCAGGCTGCCAGAGTGTGGAACTTAGTACTGGGAGGCACTGAAGAGTTCTGTTACAACCATCTGTCCTGAATAATCCAGAACTAAACCCATCTCGAGCAGAGGCCCGTGGAAGCGGGTAGGCGCAGGAGACTCCTGTCTCTCTCAGAAGGAACATCACACAAAGCACACTCGAGAGGTGGTTGTCAGCAACAGCACATCTTCTCACACTGCGTTTCTCACCGCTGGAGAACTTTTCACAGTCAAACTTGGGAGCACATAAAATAGCCAGAGAGCCCGGCCAGTGTGGCTCAGTGGTTGTGGGCTGGATCCCCAGTAGGGGGCATGCAGGAGGCAAGCCGATGAATATTTCTCCCATCCTTGATGTTTTTATTCTCTCTCCCTCATTCTTCTTCTCTCTAAAAATCAATAAAAACGTAATTTTTAAAAAATCTAGTGAAACAGTCTCTGAAAAGACTTAAGTGGGAATATAGTTTTCAGAGAGAGAGTTGCTGAAACGTCTGTGTTGAAAGGAAGGAGGATGCACAGAGCTGGGCGTATTGACCAGCAGAGTCCTGATCCATGGCTCACAGGCCTGCTTCTGTGCTGGGCTCCGCCGTGTTAAAGGTTTTCCCCAAACTGTGCCCCTACCACGCCCACTGCCAACATGCACGGTAACCGTCTTAAACAGGTTTGTTTTTACACAAGTCACCAAGAGACATCAGCACCAAAGGTTTTCTTCCATCCTTCACTCCACACAATGCCTTTTCTGTCTAGTCAGCTACACACTTCCCACCCCTCGCTCCCGTGTGCACATTTCTTCATTCACATCACACACTTCCTGGGTGTCTCCTAGGTGCCAGGTGCCTTACTAAGGCCCGAGGGAACAAAGAGTCCAGGCTGGGGTGGAAACACACATACAAAAGGTTATGTAATGTAACTGACGGCAAGAAAAAATAAAGCAGGCTGAGGGGTTGGGCTCACAGAGTGGGAATTTACTTTGGATAAATTCTCGCAGTTAGAGAAGGTGACAACAGAGCAGGGACCTGATGCAGAGCGCGAGCACCTATCAGGAGAGGGACCGGTGGGTGGCATGGTCCCAAGGTCAGGGCTGCTTGGCATGTTCAAGGACCCCAGGCCAAGCCAGGGTTAGAGGGCAGGCTGCAACTTGGGAGGCCTGTCCCCCACTCTCTGCCAGGTGTCCCGACCTCGCTCAGAGGTGGTTCACAGGTAGCAATCACGCGGCAGTGTGACCTGCAGAGAGCATGTGGCCACAGGCCGGGAACAGAAAGACTGCCAACCCTTATCGGCTCACTGCCACCATCCCCTCTTGCTCAGGCTGCAGACTGCCTGACAGCACTGTGCCCTTTTCCTTCTCGTTTCCCTCGCTGAGCCTATCTGCTGTGCCATAGGAACAGCACAAAAGGTGTCAGCAAGTGAATTCTTCACTGCCAGGCTGGCCCGGCCCACCCCGCTGGGTGAATGAGGCACTTGCTGAGCGGCCTATGGGCTGAGCCACGCTGTTTTCTACTTTTCTAAAGGAATGGGGGAGGCACGGGGCCCTGCAAAACCCTTGATACTTTGCCTATTGATCCAGAATCATGGGAACAGCATGACCCACTTTGCACAAAATGTCAACCACACGCTGCAGCCTGCCTGCCTGCTACAGTGCTCAG